TATAATAATATTTATAATATTATTATTAATTATATATTAATTTATATTTTATTATTATATGTATTTAGTGAGTATAGAAATGATTTGTATTATTTATTCAAAGCACCGAATTCATTCCTACATCTAATGTATTTTTTTTAAATGTATTTATTATAAGGGTTGATTAGATTTTCAGATAAATGTACTGTTGTTACGCATTCAGGATTAATAATCATTGATCTTAAGATACAAATTTAAAATACCACAACTTTATAATTTGAATAATTATATATTAGAGAGACAGAGTAACTTTTCGGGGGAATCAATTTATTATTTATTTATTTAAAAATAAATCTACGTAACAGACGCTAATCATTAAAGTATGTAGATTTGTATACTAAAGAGAATCAAACGAAACGTATTAGGAATAAATGCAACGATTACACCTTATCTGGTTGAATTTCCTTCATAGTACGTTTCCTACGTCATTTCTTCGTTGTAGGTTCCTTTGAAATCGTGTCAGCGTTCTTAATTGCCATGAGGAGGAGGACGTATAAAGCGTGGTACGGTTCGTTTTGCCTTTCATACTTAATAAGACGAGACAACCGCGTAACGACGTTATCTATCTAAGCGAGATCTATGGAACCCCATACTGCCTCGTTTAACTTCATTATAACGCGAATTTAATCCCTTCTATCTAATCCAAATTCTTCTCTTATCATTCCAATTGTTTCATAAATGAACAACAAAATAATCAATTTTCAATAATCATTGTTACTTTTATATGCACACAAATTGCAGTGTTATGTTTAGAATTGAATTGGTTATAAAACAAATCTAATCATTTTTAATTAAATTTCATCTTCTATCATTCTAATTATTAAATTTCTAGGATTTTCAAAATAATTTCCAACGATCAATTCAGTTTGTTTATTTTTTATTTCTAATCAATTCTCATAGAAACGTTCATAACTGTGTGCGTATACAATTATGTTTATCAAAGTTAAGATTCATTGATTGTAATTTAAATTTAAATGATGAATCAATTTGATAATAATCGATGTGATTTCATTTAATTGGAGAAAAAATTGTTTCTATGTAAGAACTCCTATTGCAGGAGTATGCAGTTACGTTCAGGGTTGTCAAACTACTTGGTGGCGGAAATGCAACGCGTTGCATGTTGAATAAAGGGACGTAGAACGTTGACTGGTATACCAGCCATCTGCAATTTACGCTTTTGCCAAGCTCGTTTCACCGCTCCTTAAGGCAGGCGTGGCACCAAGCCACAAACTTTAGTCTCGCACCTATCTCTCCTCGGTTACTATACTAGAATTTAGATTCGTTCGACGCGACTATAATTTTAAACTCTTAAAACCTAGCTCGAGAGTTAACTCGACGATTTTTTTTCTTATTTTTTTTTCTTCTTTACCTTCGTCAAAATCAATAATTTCAATAAACGATTGATAGTTATACACGTGGGCTAATTATATTAATTAATTAATTCTATGAAAAGTCACAACTCGCATAACTTTCAAAATAATTCGTTCATTGTTATACTTCAAATTGAAATCATCGAAATTGTAAGATAAGTCAAACTTTTTAAGGATTGAAAAATAAAATTGACTAATTAATAATCATCATTTTAAGAAAAATAAAAGAAAAAAGAAAACTAGTTTTCTAACTTAAGTTAAAAAGAATTTATTATGAGTAAAAAATACGCAGGATCTCCGGTAGCTGTCACCTTCGCGTATATCTTCGTAGTAGAAAATTGCATAGATCGTTGCAGGACCGCAAGAAACAATTTCATCCGTGAGACGCGTATTACCTAGTTTACCGGAAATTAGCGTCGTACGATTTTAACTACTCGAATGGGGATTATTAAAGTAACGTTTCGCGTTTATTTCGTTCCACATTCGTGACATGCTCCAGGAAAAGATCATTTAAGTAAACTTCGTATAACAATATTATTCAATCATTTTAAACGAAACTTCCTTTCATTTTTAGAATGCACATTTAAATTTGTATTATATTTAATAATAA